AAATTAAATTTTTTTTTTAAATTTTTTTGTTGTTAATATTTTTTTTCCCGTTGCTTTTGACTTCCATCCTTTGGAAATCTATAAAAACTACAATAATGACTCTCAGAATGATGGTTACAATCGGGTACAAAACACGACACGCCACATACCAGAGCATATGATTGTGCAATCGGGTACCCTCGGACCATTCAGAGAATAGCTGTTTTCTAGGCATGACGGGAAGAGTCGAATGGGTTTTCCGATTGATGATTGTGTAGAACCAGTAGGTTCGTTGTCATGCCACCGTGACGTCATCACTTCGGTACTCTATAGATGAGATCTTCAGTAATTTTCACGGGCACGCGCGCGTACACACACACACGCACGCACGCACGCACGCACGCGCGCGCGCACACACACACACACACGCACGCACGCACGCACGCACGCACGCACGCACGCACACACACACATACATATATATATACCGATGTAGTTCCTACAGCCACCGGCGGTGCACCCGCGGGTCCAGGCTCCCTCGTGAACGTTCATCTCCCATCTCTTCGTCGCAGACGGATCGTCTTCCAGCGCGTCTGGGCTGAGATTGCAGATCTCCAACTTTTGGAAGTTAGCGATGAAATCCTTCCAGGACATCCTGTACCAAATTGCAAGCATGTGTATAAATAGTGAAGTGGTCGATTTGCTGTAGCAATGATCGTTTATATATTTACGTATATTTATTTATACGTGAGCGTGCGTGTGCACGCGGTATGGACAAATATTTGATAAACCAACAGCTGTTGCATTACGCAAACAGCGATTAAATTCAAGCAGTAATTCTAAGGCAGCTCGTTAAATTTTATAGTCTAGATTGTTCTTCGCGGAGTCATCATCATCATCATCATCATCATCATCATCATCATCATCATCATCATCATCATCATCATCAGGGTGCCATGTCCATCTGGACGTTGGCTACGACATATTGCCACTGTGTTCTATCGTTCGTTATCCGTTTCCAGATTCCACAGATTCTACATCATTTTATAAGGAGCGAAAATAATCAATTTAGTTTTCTGATTCATTCCTGATCTCATCGTAACGAATGTGAACAATCGCCAGCATGGCACTGACCAGAATTCTCCATCGTCGCTGAAGACAAGGCCGATCCTCTGCTTTTCTTCTGCATTCAGCAGTTGCCACTCACGAGACCTGCACAGCGCGAATTAACACATTATATCACCATCATCATGTATTATGTAAATATAACACAAACAAACAAATTTAAACAAATGAACAAATCAAATAAATATTATATGTTCTAAGTTTAAGGAGGCATGTTCCCTTTTTTTTACAACGGAGCTCTTGCAGCCTTTGAGCCTTTGTCACCCCCCAGCTATCGACAATTCGCAACTCGTTTTCGGACTTACCCCCTAACGTCCCGACTTTACAGAAAGTCGCGTACGGTCAAGCCGTTTACGATTTGTGCCAAACTGTTAGGTCGTGACGGACGGCACGGACGGCCAGGACGGACGGCGGACGACGCACGCCAGGCGCACGGACAATCATGGGATTCTACGAAGCTGGCATCGTGAACCTAGTCAAGATGAGCTAAAAAGGGATCATGTCCTTAATTATTATCACAAGTAGCTGGATGCGAGGGGAAAATAGTTGGGGAAAAAGGGAAAAGCTTTGTTGACTGGGAAAATTAATGCTGCTCGAAATTGTTAACCTCGGCAACTGAACGCCACCTTGTAGATGGAGTAGCCGACAGTCAGTAGGTCCTCGCCCTCCCTGCGCTTCTGTCTGCGGCCCTTCTGCAGCACAGCAATGACACACGTGCACAGTTCGTCATCGTCCTCCTCGTCGGGGTCAGTAAGCGTTATGCGGTACTGAGGGTTGTTAGCGAACGTCTCTGCAAGTGAGGCCAAAACGACAGCAGTTAATTTCAACTTAACACATCGACAACGGGATTTCTACTAGCTGTGTGCTACTAACAATTTACAATTAAAAAAAAACTCGCTACAAAGTACTGCGGGTTGTTATAGCGAACGTCTCTGCAAGTGAAAACGGCCACAGATAATTTTAACTTAACACTTCATCAGCAGGATCACTAGTGTTTAGAATTCACAGGTTTTTTCGCGCCAAAATTTCAGTTTGTTTACATGCCTGAGTCCTACGTACCACATCTGGAATCTTTGAAATAAATGAAAAAAATTAATCATTTTTTAAATTTTCTGGAAACATGGTCTATATTCCACATCCTTAGCCTTTCCATCACGACTATAGAGTACCGAACGTGTGACGTCACGGTTTTGGCAAGACGCAATTAACGTACGGGCCTGGTTCACACAAAGCCCTGGCTCCATAACATATAACTGCGTGAAAAATTGTTGTGCGCTACGCTGTAAAACACGGGTGTGTGCGCTGCAGACAGCCGGTAAAGACCTCGTGTGTAGCAAGTCGCATCTTCACATATTTAATGAATTAAAAAAAAAATTTCGCGTGCTTTTTCACTTCCATCCTTTTGGAATCTTATAAAACTCAATAATTGACTCTCAGGAAGATGCCGTTACAATCCCCGGGTTACCAAAAACGGCAGCCCCACGTTCAATGTTACCCAGAGCATATGTTGTTGACATATCGGCTGCTCGGAGAAGATGCGCACGACGAATTCGCCGAGCTCGTTCGGCTCGAACGTCGACGGGATGACGATGTAGGTGCCGGGCGGCAGCTTGAAGCGATTGCTGATCTCGCGCAGGTTGATGAAGTTAGGCGCGCGCGCCACCGACGCGTTATACATAAAGAACTGCTTGTCCATCGGGTCGTGCGTCTCCGCGTCATCGTCCTTCAACTGAGAGGAAGATTCAATATTGATACGATGGCCCGCGGTGTAGTTTGTGAACACGAAACGTGAGAGCTAGTAGGATCAGTGAGTGAGAGCTAGTAGGATCAGTGAGGGAGAGCTAGTAGGATCAGTGAGTGAGAGCTAGTAAGATCAGTGAGTGAAATCTATTAGGATCAGTGAGTGAAATCTATTGGGATCAGTGAGTGAAATCTATTAGGATCAGTAAGTGAGAGCTGACAGAGGACGAGTTAGTGAGAGCTAACAGAGGACGAGTGAGTGAGAGCTAACAGAGGAAGAGTGAGTGAGAGCTGACAGAGGAAGAGCGAGTGAGAACTGACAGAGGAAGAGTGAGTGAGAGCTGACAGAGGATCAGTGAGTGAGATCTGACAGAGAATCAGTAAGTGAGATCTGACAGACAGAGGAATAGTGAGTGAGAGCTGATAGCTATGTCTAACGTTCTAACGTTCAAATACATAAATTTTACACAGCGTTGGTCGCTTGTGCTTCGCTGAATCACCACAGGTGTTTGAACTGTGTGCAAGTAGAAACATTCACACAGTACGTAAAAAATGACGCGAACGGATTCCTATTTCTTTCGAACGGATAACCTGCAACTGAAAAGGGATAACTAATACTAACAAGAGCCGCAGAGCTTCTGGGCTCATCTGAGGTCTGTTGTTACGGTTATAAACGTAACATTTAAGTCGTGCGTAGTGACACTATTGTTAGGCGCAGATATATACGCAGTTGCGTACATATCATTTCAGCAGCCTTCTGCATTCTGTATACCTCCCAAATCCCATTGGTTGATGCAAATCGCGTGCCTGAAACTCCTGTTTTATGGTGCATTGTGACCCCCCTAACCCTTTTTTTTTTTAATTGTTGTAAAAATTATTTGTTGTTATTAAATTGTTGTAAATAAATCATGTAAATATTTGCATTAATTGGAAAAAAATTGTTAAATGGATAAAGATAGAAAAATACAGAAAACAGGTAAATAATAAAAAATCTGATGGGACTCGATCCAAGAACCATTGAGCCGTAATCCTGTGCTGTACCCGTTGGGCTATCCAGAGATATTGGCTTTCTAGATTATGGATGTGCCACGAATATAAGAACACTGTGACATCATTGAGGCAGTTCAGGAATCTATGTTTAACCCTCCTCTTGAGGGTCAAAAGGTCCGACACTTACTCTTCGCATGTTAGCGAAAAGTACATTTCATGGTCCTTTCAATAAAGCCCTAAAAATGGTAGGTCACCGCTTAAACAAAAAAGTTTTTCAATCGCTCCGTCAGACCATGTCCTCAGAAAATGTCTAAAATCTGTCCTGTGCCCCATTGACCTTTGACCTGTGACCTCCAATTTCGGCACAGTGATGGCTTTTCCTACCATGATGCTATACCCCGACAATCACGAGCCTAGGTCGAGCCGTTTAGATTTGTGCCGCAATTCTGCATTTCCTCCCTATACCTT